ATAATGAATGTCCTATGGAAACTATTACAATAAATTATATAAATTTTACTATGAAACGAAGTATTGAAAACAAACCTTTCTATGTTTAACCTCCATATTCAAATTTCACTAACGTAAAAATTAAAGAAAAGAGAAAAAAAACGAAAAGAAAGAAATTAAAATGACACTTCGTGCATGTCTGACCGTCAGCAATACTACTGTCGACGCCAGCTGAGACCTAGAATTAAGATCATCGAATTGTCTATCAACAAAATGGCGGCGATAACGATTCAAGGTTTCATTTACGGTTCGCTTCAAAGAATGGTTAGACTATCATGAAGGTGAACAAAGCATCACTTATTATCTATAGTTGCTTTAGTAACTGATAAAATTATCTTTCTAATTCATTGATTCTATTGCAAGAATTTGACACAATGGATGTCATTCATCAAATGTAAAAAAATGTTTTAACAATGCTACTTGTATATGTATTTTGAATTTGTACTGTTTAATAATTAATATAATTATGTTAATTAACACATTGAAACATGTCTTTACAACAATCGTATCTCTTTAATCAAAATGATTAAATCTTGAAATTAAAACTTATTAACTGATAACAAGTGGAAGTGTGTGTTGAGTTGAAGATATTAATCAACTTAAACTGTAACATCCTTAGTTTTTGAAAAACATTTTTCAAGTATTTAAACTTGAGAAATATTGTTTTGGAATGAAACCTGAGTTGTAACATATAAAATAACTTGTAATAATAGAAATGATTCATCTTAACAATATTTATACGTATCTTCTAGCTGCACATTTTGAATGTTGAACTTGTGCAAGTTATTTTATTTGTGCAATATTACAAGTTGCTTAATTCTACCTTTAAGCAGTATACAAATCTAATCTTAATGTTAGCAAAAACATTTATTGACAAAGACATTCTTTATACAAGCTCTTATGTATTTACTTACTTGATTAACACTGTAACATAAACATGAATGAACAAAAAGTTCAAAACGTAGAAGAAACTATTATGCAGCGATCAACAGATTATTGTATATGTCTGAAAATTTATTAAATAAGGTGTTAGACTGGTCAAAAAAGACAAACACATAATGCACTGTTTAATTCATGTTTTTGATGTTTACACTTAAGAGTAATACTAATATTCTTGTAAACCTTGTTTGGCTTAAAACCAGACCTTTGACCTGTAAACATTGTTCAACTTGATGACAAAATCACAATTGTACATTAGTTAAAAGTTCTATGTACAAACAAGTTTGGTGTACTAAAGTCCCACAAACACATTAAAAAATATTATGAATTGCTTTTTCACAAATTTTAATAGCTTACAGCAGTGACTTTAGTATAGTTGTTTGATAGAAGCAATCTTTCGCCAATGAGAATGAGAACAATGAAAAATGTTTACAAATGAAAGAACATATTACATCATTGGACACTTTGCCTCTGTTGTGTGTGTGTGTGTTTATGTGTGCAATGTGAATGTTACATATATTAACATTATCTTAATAAAGTTATTGTAATAGTTTATGGACTGTAAAGAGAATTAAATATGTTTGTTACATGAATTTCCAAAGGTTAATATATTATACATGTTTGAATTTGTCTTTCTATCAGTTACAATATTACAAAAACGAAAATATCCCATCCCATTTAAAAAAAACATTAATGATCTTGTAATATTTGCTCTACGAAACATAAAAGATTGTATTAGAACAATTTTTTTTTTCATATTGTTTGAAGCAACAGAATCATTATATTAGAGTGGTCATCTTAACTGAGACACCCTGTACACTAAATTCAATATCTGAAAAATCTTGCTTATCATTGTTCTTCTAATAGATTACAAATGTATTCGACGATTATACAATGCAGAAATGAATTCATTGCCTTCACACTTAATTGTTTATAATTCTGGTTTAAACAGAAATATGTTTTTATCCATAATTCTGTTACATTAAAGTACCCAACCTTCGTGACAATAACTCGTACAAATTCTTTCGACCTTCAACTATATACTTATGTATGCTTTCTTGGAATGTATGATAATGGGAAGATTAAAATTGACATAGTTTTTTTTTTAAATGAATGGCAAATTTACCTAATATAAGTTTGTATAATTTAAATAAAGAAACGTATTATATTAGTTATACCATTATAAAGTATCGATACGATCGATTTAAAAAATAATTAGAAAGTTTGGGCTTTATTTTTAAACAAGAAAGAATCTAAGAATTACTCATTTCATCTTCAAAATTATCGACTAATCAATATTGATTCAACAAATTTTTATTGCACAATACAACACGTGGTCAGATATATTCAGATACTGCTGCATCATACTTAATGAGAAATACTGTTTTACGTAAGTTTGATTGCAATACATTTCCGAAACTCATCGTGAATTCGGATACGGTAATCTATAATTATTTTACATACTACATTGTTGTAATAACAATATAACTTTCGTTCACATCATTTTCAATAACATTCAATAAAACATCGTAATTTGTATAATTCGTTTTTATCTGCAATTAATTCATTTAACATTGTATTAGTTATACGTTATTTGTTTATACTATTTATTTCTTAACAAGAAAAGTAATTAACAAGAATGCATGAATAATAAAAACTAATAACAAAAATATTAAACAGATAAAATAGAAACAGAATTAATTAGTTTCAATAACAAGTTTATTACATGTATCATATAAATCATTAATTATGAAATCATGCTTATGTTTACTTTAGGGATTGCAGTGAAATTAGAACAGCTGTAAAAGAAGTGATGTTTTATTTTATGTAAACAAAAAAAAGCAAAAACAAAACCAATAGATACTAAAAGTATCACAATAAATTATTGATAATAAATACTTGTTAAGAGCACGCAAGATAAAATGGCTTATAAAGAAACCATACAACATCAGCCAAGTCTTCTAAGAGAGGCTGTAATTCAGATTGGTGCAGGAGGTTTTGCAGGTTTTGTAGAAGCCTGCATGATGCATCCAATGGACCTTATTAAAACACGTTTCCAACTGCAAGTCAAAGTTGCACAGCAAGATGCTCTTTACTATACAGGCATTGTATCACTACCTTGTATAATGTACCTTTATTTTAAATTTGTTCATTGCTGTTTTATTACTTTTTAATATATCTCTATCTCTGGATTTCATTAATGAAGTAATGTTTTTGATAATATTCGTAATATCACAGGAATTCATGACTGTATAAAAAAAATGTATATACATGAAGGGCTAGCAGCATTTTGGAAAGGTATATTACCACCAATTATCATGGAAACTCCCAAAAGAGCTGTAAAAGTATGTAACATGTAACGTGTATTGTATTTGTAAAAATAATTATTTTAATCATGTTAAGTAATTGTTAATAAAAAGACACATTTGTGTTGGAAGTTTGAAATAAAAATTAAAAGTTACAATAGAATTAAATGTTTGTGGAAGTTAAATAGAAGTAAAAGTATGTAAAGTTTAAATGATGTTTTGCTTTTTATAGAGAAAAAAATAAGATACTTTCTCTTTTTTAGTTCTTCTCCTTTGAGCAGTATAAGAAGTTGTTTAGCAATAATACATCAAAAACAATGGTATGAATAATACTATGAATTTTTCTAATCACTTATAAATCTGTTTTCACTGTGTTGAGGTGCTACTAATAACTTACTTGCCTCTTGCAGACATATTATTATGCTGGCTTCTTAACTGGAGTAACAGAGGGTATTTTAGTAAATCCATTTGAAGTTGTTAAAGTGCAATTGCAATCTAACCGTAAACATATCAGTCACAGCCCATCTACTTTTGCTGTGACTCAACGTATTCTTACACAGCATGGTTTTGGATTAAATGGTTTGAATAAAGGTCTATCTGCCACAATAATGAGAAATTCTATTTTTAATACATTTTATTTTGGAATCTATAATTCTGTAGTTCCTCAGTTACTTAAACAGAAGGATCAAGTTCCAGAATTACTTCTTAAGGTATATTTTACTATTATTAAGTACAATATGAGTAGCAATTCATATCAGGACTGATTTTTCTTTCCTTCTAGAATATATTTAATATACTATAGTTAATGAAAGTTACATAAATAAATACATATTCCTTTAGAGAAAAAAAATTAAAATTATTTAATTAATGTATCTATAAAATAATCAATACATTTCAATGAATATGTTAAGTATTAAATTTTAATATTGATATTAATTTAATCGGTGCATACTTTTTAGTTTATTGTAGGTTTTATATCAGGGACAGTGGCATCCTGTATGAACATACCCTTTGATGTTGCTAAAAGTCGTATTCAAGGACCTCAGGGTGAAATTCAATATAAAAGTACACTACAAACTATTTACTTAGTCTATCACAGAGAAGGGTATGGAAATAAAATAATTTATAACTTGATTATTTCATTTTCTATATATTCTTATGTTAATTATAATAATCAATGATTACTTTTATTTCAGATTTAGAGCTTTATACAAAGGATTAGTACCAAAAATATTGCGATTAGGACCAGGTGGCGCCATAATGCTCATAGCTTACGAGCAAGTGAAATCATATTTTAGTATGGAAATTGATAATTGATTGGAGTTCTAGACTGCAATAAAGACTGACTACGTGCATTTATTTAACGACATTGTTATAAATTGTTCAGAAAAATTTAGAAGGTCTAATTACGACATCAGTTATTGTTATACAAAGCTTTTGAAGTTGGTAGTTTAACATAGAAGCATAGAAGGAGGAAAAAAGAAAAGGAGGTAACTCTATCCTTCTTCGACCAACTGCAGAGCTGCGTTAAATCTACTGATTTCAAACTTTAATCAAGGGCTTTCTGTATCAATAAATGATCTTGTACTATATTAAATTATATTATATTCAATTTAAAAAAATTAATTTCCAAATCTTCCTTACTACTTCATTTACAACAAAATTATTTACTTCATATAATTTGCCCCTTTAAACCAAATAACTTTTGTACAAATATTTCTGTCAATAGTTTTATCCTCTCATGGGATATTTAACCATAAGAATTTAATAATTTGAATATTAATGAACTACAGGAATAATAATAATAAATTTAATCATCTAAAAAATCATCCAACCCCACTTCTCCAGATCCATAGATTTCACAGATGTACTAGATTTAGGTGTTACTTTTGTATCTGTAAAAGACACTTATTAGATTATCTTAGATTAAAAATTTATCTTCGAAATAATTAATTAGCTGTAAGTTTCTATAAATTTGTACCATTATTACAAGATAGAGGTTAAGATTTCACAATAGTTAAAAGGTCATTCACTGGTTCTTCAAGTGATAGCAAAAAATCTAAATCTTCAGTTGTGTCTTCTACTAAATCTTGACTTCCTTCTACACTTTTTATATCGTTGGAAACCTGCTCTTCTAATTTGTTTAAAATTTGATTATACTTTGCTTTACCATCCTCTGCTTTGTTACAAATACTTGTCATCTGATCATACTAAAATAATGAATAATTATTTTAATTATTTACTTTATTCAAGGAAAAAACAATGTATCGAATAGTTACATTAATTTGAGTGTTCAAATATAAAAAAATAAATTCAGTGATCCAAATATTTTTATATGCATATTTTAGTATGTAATTTAAAGTGAAGCTAATTAAATTAATTAAAATAATTATTTCATATTAATACACTTACAGTGAAATATTTAGAGTTGATATTAACATTTGAATTAAATGGAATTGATTCAATTACTGCTGATAATGTTGTCAGATCAAGCATGAAATATTCAGAGTATTTAGAAACATCAACAACATTCCAGCTTTTTTCTGCCTTCGAAACAAAGAAATTATCTTCAGAAATTGGAGCATTTACTAAAAATTCAAAGTCCTTTGTAAAACTCTCATCTGCTTTTATGTCCTCAAAATATTGATTGTTCTCCTCATTGTTTTTCTTCTCCTTGTTTTTCAGCTTTTTGATTCTAATTTTACGTTATTATAATTCATGTAAACAAATTACATGACATGTCAATAAAATCATTATTATAAGATAAATAATTAATTATTACACAATGTTACGACCGAAAGTGTCAAGAATAAGATCATATTTAGAACTTGGTAAAGTTAATATTTAAAGATTTAATGATTTTAACAAAAAAGTGAATATCAAATGCTAATCAATAACTTCACTAACCTCGTTTGACTTTTTCTATGCGACATTTTTTTCTATTTTGCACTTCGTCACCTGTCACACGCTACCACAAAGTATATACATAACAGTAGATAATAAATATGGCAGTTAGGGGGTACAAAATCATGTATATATATACTATAAGTTGAAGTTTAGAGGGTAAGATTAGGATAGTGATGCTACGGGATACTCAAGACCGGCGTTGGAGAGGCGGGGCAATCGCCCGGGGCGCCAGATTTTTGGGGGCGTCGCAGTCCGGTGTCCCTAGTATACGAATATAGTATAGCTGATATACAGGGTGTAACAATATAGGTACTGTAGCTATAGGAAACGTGAGAAGTGTGAGAACCCAAATAGGAACTCAATTCTTTTATACTTCTATGTTTTTTAGGGGGACTAAGTTCACCAGCTCCATGAAGGTACTAGATACTTTACTGTGCGCATGCGTGAATGGGAAGCATCCCTAGCATCAGCACTGAACTCTTTAATTATATACTGATTATACATATAAGTCAATATAGGTACTGGTAGTAAAATAGAAGTAGTAATATCATGAAATTTATTGACTTATTTCTTATATTAAAGTACTAGTTACAAATTTGCTAGAATAGGTATAAATAAAACATAATTGTATTGAAAGATGTTTAATTTAGTTATATTGTTTTGTATATAGTATCTTCTTTGTCAGTTGTTGTTACTAATTCCAATTTAACTGGACAATGCAACCAATAACTTAAAAGCTCTTCAGTATAACCTATTAGAAAGTACATCTTTATAGGTATAATCTTCCGTACAACAATCCCAGCAATTCTGATCATATTATGCTGTCGCTTAATAATTATCTCGCTTGCGAACAAATTGTGCCATGTTCCAATCATAAAGTTTCTTATGAATAAGTCCTCTACAGCAGTCTCCGATGGTCTGTTACCATCTTTTACATTTGCTACAAAGAGTAAGACATTCGCGAACTAAGATATGTATACAAAATTTATAACAAAATTAAAAACACTAATTACTTTATAATTTACATACAAGTATTCCAAGAATTCCAAGCTTTTCTATGCTTAATATAACAAGGAGGGTTTGCCATTTCATACGTCAGTGGTTGAGGTCTGTTTGGTATAGGCCTATAGTGTCCAGCTTGTGTTTTGTTAAGTGCTGTACTAGCGTGTAAATATCTCTTTGATAAGATATTTTGATTGACTACTAAAACCTGAAAAAGAAATCAAATATTTTTAATACTTGAATAGAAGATAAGGTTATGGTGTACATATGTAGATTTTAGTTAATAATGCATATTTACAGAACGTATCTGAGACGTCAAACCCATTATTTTTAGTTTTAAATATAATCAAAGAACCAAAATTGTCTTAATTTGTTTGGAATAGTTAAATAATGATTCTTAACATCCAACCACTCAACTTTACTAGTATTAGGTTTAGCACCAGTGGAGCCATCTACGGGAAAATCTCCAAGTTTGTAGTGAAAATATTTTCCACTGTTTCTACTAGATGGTATTACTAACTAAAGGATCGATAATTATTGCTGCATTAGATAGCCATATAGAAAAATGATAAATTTGACATGCTCTTAGCATTTTACTATCCTATACATTTATTACTATATTTAAATTAAGGTTAGTTTTGAAAATAGTTCACACTATTTTTATAAGATAGTGCCACGAATACCTTTTAATCAATTATTTTTTATTTTTCATAAATGCAAAATTAATATGATTCGTTGTTTAATAACACTACAATATTTGATTATAATATATTATTTAAGCATTTATCTGCTTTACATATATAAATGCAGCAATGATTATCGACACTTTAGTTTGTGACGTCATCTACTAGCTATAGTGGGAGCTATTTTCACTTCAAACTTTGACGTTTTTCTACTGATAACGCCATTTGTACACACTTGTTAACACTTGTACAAGTTGTACATAGTACAAAGATTTGTTTGTTATTTCTAAAATAATCAGAAATTTATACGGATATTTAGAAAACTTAGAGATCTGTAATCAATTTTATGTAACTATATAAGTACACATATCTTATATTTGTACGAATGAAATTGTAATTGAAAAATAAATTTCTGTCAGTTATATATTTTGTATTATCGAAAAATGGTTAACTTGGAATTGTACAAATTAAAACTAGAAGAGATTAGGCAGTATGCACGCGAAAACAATATTTCAGAATCGGAAATCCAGAAAACATTAGAAAACTCCTTTCATGTTCACAAAATGAGACAAAAAAAATATAATGCATCTTACTGCTTAAAAATCATGATATTAGTTATATTTATAATTATTGTGTGTTTTGCGTCTATTAATTGGAATTTTTTAGTAATTATGACAATGAGAAATTTGCAAAATTCTATTTATCCAATGTTAAAATTACTTAGAAAAACAGCTATGCCAATAATTCACCATTATCCTTCTTTATCTGGTACGATTAGATTATAATTTATTTTAAAATAATATTAATAATATGTTTCAATAATTAAAAGTTTACAATGTATGTTTTATGTTTCATATTAATTTGATGATATTAATCCTTTGTGATTTATTTATAATATTGTTTGCCTTCATCTTATTATAAAAGTTATAAGACTTAATATATTAAAAGATATTTCACAGATATCTCAATATTTACTTGGAATTCAAAACACTAAATAGTACCAAAGTCTAAAAAGTTAATATTAAAATATTATATACTTCAATGACTATAATACAAATTTGTGATACTTTGAATTTTATTTCACTTCTGCTGTTTATTAGTAATATTATATTTTTATGGTAGGAGGTGTACTATGTTCTGAGGCCTTTTCTGGCACAAAGAGCAAAAACTTGTTTCTAGCAAATTTCTTAGTGAACAAATAGATCTCCAAAAAGAGTACACCTCTTTATTACTTATAAGACCAAATAAATTAAAATTTTTACTTTTTCTTTTATATTCCTATTTTTTTAGAATTCTATGATGAATGGTGTATATTAGAAAATCCATATTTCTATGTAAATGATATCGATTGTTGGCCCTGTAGTGTTGTGCACTTTGTACCTGATTTAACTGGTCACCAGATATCTAGATCTTTTAACCCTGGAATTCCTTATATAAAATCAGAAAGTTTACCAGAAGTGCGTATGAAAAATATTGAACAATTATATTGGGAAAATTATGAAGTATTTGAAAAGGATGCTATGAAAATATTTTCTAACAACTTGACATACAGGTAGTACAGAATAGCCTGAATGTGAATATTGTTTAAAATAAAAATACATATATTATTTTCTCAATAGGGAATATATATATCGAATATATCATTACAGAAATATTCGAGATGTTATGGAAAGTAAAATGGATTTAAATCTTTCTAAAAACTTAGATAATCATGTCATGTGGAGAATTAATCGTATGAGAGCAGGAAGAATCTTGAGAAAATTGTTTCCAAAACCTGAAAGTGTTCCAGTTTGGTGGGAACAGAGCACAGAAAAATTTATCTTTCTTGATGAACAAAAGTCTCCATCTTATTCTTTGGTAAGGGATTACATTTCCTCTCAGATATTTTCATAAATTCAAATAGATTTGGTATTTACAACTCCTAAAATTCTATTGATATTTTAGAATAGAATCACTATGATTATTTAGATAAACATATAATGGTTCCATAATTATTAAATTCTATTTTTTTTAATGACAGCCACACCCTGAGTGTAGTAATGTAGTGGTAAGATGTACAACTGGTGCCAGATTGATAAAAATGATATCAAGTCCAGAATGTAGTGGGTCTTGTAAATCTTTCACAGTATTACTATCTGCTGGAAAAACGTGTATGTACTTCAATTTACAGTTTATTAGCCCCTTAACGTACATTTTAATGTATAGAATCGCTACCGAGTCTCGTGATTATGCGAAAACTACTTTCGTTTGTTGCGTCTTATTTGAATAATTTATGTATTATGTATAAATAAAACTCATTTACGTTAAGGGGTTAAATAAATAATTTAATTTCTAGTTAACGATGTAAATCATTCATCTTTATTCTTGATGTATACTTTTAACAAAAATGTTCATTTATAATTAACTTAAATTATTTGCGTATTATTCAATATTGTTAGGGCAATTTACTATTTAATTCATCATTATTTTCAGTGTGGTACAATTGGTGGTACTGGCGGCCAATTAGCCTTTCAGTTTTAAATTCAACTAGTGTCTCCATTAACTACATGACTTCCTTTTGCTAAATTACTTTGCAACATTATCTACATTATTATCGAGTAATTATGTTACTAAAGAATTTTTCTATTCTCGTGACTCTATTAATTTTAATTAAAATGCACGTACATATATTACAAAATAATTCCTTTCCATTTGCATAGTTAATTTTTTCAGTTCTATACTCAAGACATGCCCAACGAAGTCGCTCAGGGGTAAGATGAAAGTACACTGCCAACAGGGAAATTCTTAGACAAATGCCTGAGCATTTGATGTTACAGTAAGACTGCAACAACGGTGATACAACGTCGAATGATTAACTAACAATAAGTTCTTGTAAACAAAAATCGCATTTATGATACAGATTATGGCTCAAACATGACAATAAGTCACACTCGTCGTAAAATTAATTATATATTGTTTTCATTTCTAACATCATAAATTAAGCTTTTGTACCTTCTTTTATGCATGTATTTACAATCACTATCTTGATTGTGCTGGTAGTATCATAGCAAATTGAAAATTGCTAATTGAATCATAACTAAATTGACTTTTGATGTGATTGATATATCTTTAGCTCTTTAAATACTTAAAATAAATAAGTGCACATTTTTTGAACAAATCCTTTATTCAATTTTTCTCTAAATTTTAATCTAACTTTTCTTGCAATTTTTGTTTAAATAAAACAGGTACTAATGATAAAATTGCAAATAAGCACAAAATTAGGATGCTATTCCAGGACCATGCGTCAGTAGAAGAAGTTAAGTTTTGTAACGTCTGGCCTGCTTGTATTGCAACAAAAGATGGTGGAGCTACTCCAAAAAATGTGCCCATGGCAAAAGGTGCAAGAGGCACTCCGATCACAGGACTAGCTAAATTGATGAACCAATTTGGTAGTAGTGGAGTTATCCGGAGAAACAGCATATAATTAAAAAGGTGGTGTTTGTGTTTTTTAATTGTTTGCGTCCACTCTTGTGCTTTTTCTGGGAAGTATTTAAAAAGTAATTTACGACCTAGAAGAGATGACACAAGGTAACAAAGTGATGCACCTACTGCACTGCAGCTACATACTAGGAACAAAGCTAAAGGAAATGGAAATAGAAAGCCAGAAAGGATAGAGAGGAAAATGGAACCTGGAATAGCAAATGTTTGTAAACTACATCTGTGTTAAGGAATTCTAGATTAACTTAAACAGTTCAGATATAAACAATTACAACTAAATGTATTATATTCCAAATTAATTTTTTTACTGTGGCACATTTTAACTAAAAAATACTCGATTTAGGATATGTCTGATTGATTTAAATTAATTGATCTATTTAAGGCTCACATTCAAAAATGCAATAGTATTAAATTTCAAAGCTATTGTTTGATAACATGTATGTACATTGTCCACAGCAGAAGAATTAAAGAAAATAGATATTAAAGGATACAAAATATAGGTAAGAAATAATCCAGCTAGTACTTGGAAATAATAAAGGTCTTTATACCGACTTAATAGTTTACCCAAGTTTTTAGCATCCTCAATGTGCAATGGTAACTTTAAGTGTTGTCGTTCATTCCTAAAAGAAAATAAAGAGACTTAAATGTTTCTGTCCATAGAATGTGCTGATTTTTTGTCTTACTCTGCAAGTTCTGGAAAACTAGTATACACATAAAACATTGCTGACAATGAAGTAATAAAGATCACTGCAACTGTTACAATAGCTTGCTTAGTCGATGTCTGTTTTGAAGAATCTGAAAACATATTTAGGTGTTCATCCATATATAGTAAATAAAAATTTACAAGCTTTTAAAAGATCTCAAATACAAATAATGCAAATAATGCAAATTTGAACATAGCGTTAATTAATTTTGTTCCGTGACAGTTACGAAATTTACATTTTGTTTCAATTTTGACAATGTTTACAAATGAAATAAGTTAGGAATCTGAAGTAGAAAATGAATATTATTTATTTATAACAAACGATTTTATAAATTTCATTAATTATTTGAATGACAATGCTCATGACGTCTATTATTTTCATTGTTAACGTTGACTTAACATTCCATAATTACATTTTAAAATATGTTTTAATGAAAAATGCCAAGTAAAAATTTGTTTAAAAAATTAAAATCTAATGCTAAGACAGTATTCCAAAACAATGATCTCACCATCATTTTTTTTAATTCTATTTTCCGTTTTCATTTCTATACTGTCACTGTTTTACTGTGTTTCACGCCACGAGTGACCACCAGTGATTACTCTGAAACTTAAGATGGCGTGCGTGTAGATACGCTGTGATAATTATTAGTAGCAGGTGTTATCTCGAAGGCCACCACTTACTAAGCCGCTTTGTGAGCGCTCACAGAGCGTGTGAGCCTAAAGATTTTACTCTTTCAAACATAGCGATCAGGGCCGACGCAAGGCAGGTTCAGCGCGTTCGCCGGAACCCAGCTCCGCGTTTTAAAAGGCCCCGCGGTCTACGAAAAGTACTGAATTAAAAGGCACCGATATTGATTAACTTTTTACAGACTGATGATACCATTAACAAATGGAAGCAATTTTTGTTGAGATGCATGACATTTTTTTAGTAGCCATGATTAAATTAAAAGGAGTGACAAAAATCATCAAAGTATTATTATTTAATATTCATCTTATAAAATATATATAGCATTTGTAAATAAATAATTCCTCGTTGTAAAATTTAAGTGTAGGATTTGAATGTGAATTCAGGCCCCGCGAAAGGTCACGCCGGCCCTGATAGCGACCGCTCCCTAGTAGCAGCCAATCACTCAACTATACTAATTATTTTTTTTTTTATTAATAAACCTTAGATCCTGTGTAGATCCATTGGTACAATATGTACCAATTATTATATTTTTTATTAATAAACCTTAAATCCTGTACAGATCCATTGGTAAATACACAGGGTGTCCAAAAATGTTGGAGTTCCTTGAAAGGGGTGGTTCGGGAGGTAATTTGAAACAACTTTTTCCTTTGCGAAAATGTCGGATGGGGCTTCGTTAAGCAGATATTAACAAAAAACCCCGACCAATCAGAACGCGTGCATACCGTTAGCGCGGCTGTGGTAGCGAAGGCTACGCGCTAGGCGGCCGCGTCAATATCCTTGGATACACGTCGAGTCACTTGTTTGCGTACGAGCGCGACCGCCTAGCGCGTAGCCTTCGCTAGCACGGCCGCTCCAACGGTATGCGCGCGTTCTGATTGGTCGGGGTTTTTTGTTAATATCTGCTTAACGAAGCCTCATGCGACATTTTCGCAAAAGAAAATGTTGTTTCAAATTACCTCCCGAACCACCCCTTTCAAGGAACTCCAACATTTTTGGACACCCTGTATACCAATTATTGGCTTTCTAGTACCCGTGGCGCCATCGGTGGGAGCACACTGAAGTTTGTAGTGAAAATAGTTCCCACCGTTTCTGTAAGATGGTGTCACCAATAATTTTTAATCAATTCTTTATTTTACGCATAATTAATACGATTCTTTGCTTCATAACACTACATTATATTATTTTAATATATTATTTAAATATTTATCTGCATTTACATATGTATTCGAGTGTATAGGATCAGACTGCGAACCTATAATTACTATTTGCAATAAATGTGATTTAAACTTATTTGCTCTAAAAGTAATTGAATATAAATAAAATAATAAATGTATAAAATAATAAAATGCTAAGAGCATGTGTTAATATGTAAAATTTATCATTTTTATCAATAGTTATCTACTGTAGCAATAATCATCGACCCTTTAGTTCGTGGCACTATCTAGTAGAAACGGTGGAAAATATTTTCACTGCAAACTTGAGCGTTGTGGCACCGATGGCATCACTGGTATTAAAACCAGTATTTGTATATACACTAGCGGACAAGCAAACCGGAACGATCTTTCAAATGCTCATAACTATGAGAGTTTTCAACCGATTTCGGTGAAACTTCGTGAGGAATAGTCTTCAAGTGTCTTTTAGGTGTGTGCAAAGTTGCATTGGCGAGGGTTGACGCGAAGGGGTTAATTCACCCCCCTAAAGGAGAGGGTATAGAAAAACGCCTCTTTGAAACAGGCCAGGGATGACGGAAGGGGTTGAAAAATTCAAAAACACCTTTGGGGCGACTCTCCTTGATGCCTCCTACAAAATGCACCCCTTGAAATCCCTCTCGGACAAACCCACCCCCACAACCTCCCACCCCTTCTAAAATCTACAATTTTTGGACGACAGTCTCGATTTTTGGGCTCAATGCATTTTCTGGACTCTCCTGATCCAGAAAATGCCATCACCCATACTGTGCACCCCATAGGCACCCTTTGGGGGTTGGAATAGCTCGCAAATTTTCAACCCCCCTCGTAAGGGAGCACTTTCACACATCGGAGGGCGATGAAATTCTCCATGTTTGTTCTCGATACGTTAAGGATAAATGCCGAAAAGGTCCCGTTTCGAAAACTGCCCCCTGAGCTGAAGAGAGGGGGGCAGAGGTAGGGGTGGTCCACCCCCAAGTGTAAGGGCTGGAACGTTATTTCGTTGTGTGGATCACATGTCCAACAGTCCAGGACATCGGTGCGACACAGTTTTGATGACTTTTTCCCGTGTGAATGGCAATAAAATTCGAAAATGTCGATTTTTTGAAAAACTTGTTTCTAATTTCAGGCTCATCTGCAGAATGAACGAGTAACCCCACGTGAATTACGTTCATGGTATCGGACGCGCGAATGCTTTATTAACAGGTCCCCAAGAAATCAGATTTTTTTTAATCACGTTTTCGTTGTCAAATCGGAGCAGATTTGAATGAGTAGTAAGTGGGCCGGACGGAAACGGTATTCAAAAGTGGTGCGAGACCCTGCGCCTGTACGGGTCAGTCCACGTTAAATTGGAGTCCGGTCTGGTCTGACCACGTACGGGTGCAGGCCCTCGCTCCGCTTCTGAATGCCGGCCCACTTACTACTCTTTCAAATCTGCTCCGATTTGACAACGAAAGCGTCATTAAAAAAATCTAAATTTTTGGGGACCTGTTAATAAGGCATTCGCGCGTCCGATACCATGAACGTAATTCACGTGGGGTTACTCGTTCATTCTGCAGATGAGCCTGAAATTAGAAACGAGTTTTTCAAAAAATCGACATTTTCGAATTTTATTGCCATTCACACGGGAAAAAGTCATCAAAACTGTGTCGCACCGATGTCCTGGACTGTTGGACATGTGATCCACACAACGAAATAACGTTCCAGCCCTTACACTTGGGGGTGGACCACCCCTACCTCTGCCCCCCTCTCTTCAGCTCAGGGGGCAGTTTTCGAAACGGGACCTTTTCGGCATTTATCCTTAACGTATCGAGAACAAACATGGTGAATTTCATCGCCCTCCGATGTGTGAAAGTGCTCCCTTACGAGGGGGGTTGAAAATTTGCGAGCTATTCCAACCCCCAAAGGGTGCCTATGGGGTGCACAGTATGGGTGATGGCATTTTCTGGATCAGGAGAGTCCAGAAAATGCATTGAGCCCAAAAATCGAGACCGTCGTCCAAAAATTGTAGATTTTAGAAGGGGTGGGAGGTTGTGGGGGTGGGTTTGCCCGAGAGGGATTTCAAGGGGTGCATTTTGTAGGAGGCATCAAGGAGAGTCGCCCCAAAGGTGTTTTTGAATTTTTCAACCCCTTCCGTCATCCCTGGCCTGTTTCAAAGAGGCGTTTTTCTATACCCTCTCCTTTAGGGGGGTGAATTAACCCCTTCGCGTCAACCCTCGCCAATGCAACTTTGCACACGTCTAGGGGACACTTTAAAAGTACTCCTCACGTAGTTTCATTTCAATCGGTTGAAAACTCCCATAGTTACGGCGGTTTGAAAAAGTGTCCCGCTAATTGTTTGCATTAGTGTATATGTATATGTACATTAGTCCTCAGAGCCACCTGTAATATCTCCGTTGCTTTAAACGATACGAAAAAAATTGTTCTAATAAAGACTTTTCAGTTTTGAAGGGGAAATATTATCATCCACGCGAAAAGTATGCCAAGGTCATATTTTTCGAAATTTGAAGGCCATTAATAGTTTTTTAAATGGGATGCAGCACTTTCATTAATGTAATATTGGAGTTGATAAAAAGACAAATTCAAACTTGCAAATATGTTAACCTTCAGCCGTACTTGCGAGGTGTTACTGTTACAACATCAATGAGATTTATACCTAAAACATCTATCATTTTAATTTTATTTATATATAGGTAGTATAAATGCATAGTAGAACCGATCGGACTTTCCTCGTTATGATGATTGAATTTATACTTAAAAGTCTATCAATATTAGATGAATATTAGATGGAAGCACGAATAGAAAGTAAGCGGGTGTAGTAGGGGAGACTGGGGTCAACTGGAACGTTTTGGATAAAATAGCTTATCGTGACTTCATTTTATATTCTACCTGTTTAGTAACGGACTTCAGTTATAGCTAGATCGTGTAGTTTCCAAAGAGCGTTATTGATTTCTTCTCAGAAATACTATCAAAATAGTTGGAAGTTTTTTGTGAGAATCTCAACAAAAGTTTCAAACGACGTCGTGTATAGATTAATAGAAACAGTGCCTGGGGTTAGTTGCAACATCTATAAGTAGGAAATAATTATGTTTAAATAATTAGATAGATTTCTCAAAATTCAACTTCAACATCAAGTAACATTATTGAATGAATTTATTTAGATTAATCAACTGAACGATATAATCGAACTAATAAACAATTACAATGCATACTAAAAAATAAAAAGATTTTCAATCTTAAAAAATCAGATTCACTAAAATCGCTAAAACTAAAATAAGTGAAAAGTGTTTCAAACCTCTAGTTGCAAACATTAAATTATGTAGAAAAAAAATGAATGTTGTACATCTTTTTTTATATTGTATAATAAATATTTATTACTCATTGTCATATCTGTCTAAAGAATGAATTTACTCCAGTGGTATCACCACTGAAAAAATGTGTCGATCGCAGAGCACTGAAGGTGTAATAGTAGGAAAAGTGTAGGATTCGAAGATTTTTTGTTTATCGTAAATTCAGGATAAATTATAAAAAGTTAAATGAGTAAATGAATAAATTCGAAAAGTTAAATATCAAAATATATCAAAATGGCAGATTGTTCGTAACCTTTTCCAATTTTGACACTTTTAAACGAATGCAATATAAAGAAATCGTGTTATCATGAAATGTCAAATCGATCCATCCATTGGTTTTTGTATCACGCCAATCATAATAAAAAAAAAAAGGTTTTAGAAAGATGCGTTGAAAGTTTCAAGTAGAATTATCGATATTTTTAGAGTCGATTTAGTTCACAGTACGAGCTAATGATCTCATCAACGGATTTAAAAAAAAAAAGAAACTAAAACAGAAATTAATTGTTTAAGATTTATGTATTTTAATAATGATAGTCATTATTTATTAGATAGTAGGAATTCCGCCCTTCAATTTGAATTTTGTTAGGATCGAATCGGATGATTTCAAGCCGAGTAACGACACTTCACAGTTTCCTATTTAATAGATACTTATTAATGAATGATTGACTTGGTGGTCTAATAAATTCCCGGAAGTGCGTACGCATTGTGTAGTTATGTAAAAATTGTTTAGTAAAATTGTTTAGTAAAAATCGTAAACACAGTGTCTAGCGTAGCATTTCCTCGAAGAAGATGACAACAATCGTTTTTCCATAGTCTGTCTTGAGTATTTAATGAGTTCTTTTCGAGCGATTTTGATGAAACTTGGTACATAGAGGTTTTTTTGGAGGGTTCTAAGTCTGAAATCAAGATTTAGAAATTTAAAATGGAAAATCCAATATGGCGGATAAAAATGTAAAAAGTGATTCGATTTTGATGAAATTTGGTATACGAGGATTTTGGTGGTCGCTGATTTTAAATCTGAAATCAAGATTTAAAAATTCAAAATGAAAAATCCAATATGACGAATCAAAATGAAAAAAGTGATTCGATTTGAATGAAATTTGGTATACGTGGGTTTCTGGGGTCGCTGATTCTAAATCTGAACAAAACAATTAAACATTCAAAATGGAGGATTCGATATGGCATGACAAAAACCAAAAAGTGCCTGTATATAGATGCAACTTGGTATACAGTTCATACAAAAGTTTCACATTCAAAAAGAAAGCAACTGAAACAGAAAAAATCAGAACTCCAAATTGACTATAACGCTAAAATTTTCGTAAAACCATATTTTGCTACGTCCTCCTGCCTCCCGACTACTCAATGATTCAATTACTCGCATCGTTTGCGCGGTTCAAAGCGAAGGTTTAATCCTTTCAACAACGAAGCCATTCGTGGGCGGAGCGTCGACACCTTTTTTTTTCTTTCGAGATCGCACCTTGCGGACTACTGGTACCAATGTCTCATGTCGCGTGTATACGTCAAGGCGTCGCGTTCGTGCGCGCGCAGGATTGGTCCAGATTCCTGCCCTGAACCCTTCGTTTGTCCTCGTCCCCCCCTCTCTCTCTCTCTCTCTCTCTCTCTCTCTCTCTCTCTCGCCCCTCAGTTGTTGGTGTTCTCCCGTCACGCTCCCGCGACTCTTCTGGTACGTGTGCGTGCCCAGTGGCGCCGCCGATCGGGGAAAATCTTGGAACCCGAGAACCAGGAGTCCGGTACCCCCCTCCGTTGTTCAGTCGTGGGTGCAGTGCGTACGAGTGTGCAGCGGTTTCGGAAGTTGCCTCGAGACCGGCGTGGCCTGAAGCGCGCGAGGTTAGGTCAGTGTCAACTAGTCAACTGTCGCGGCATCGACGATCTTACATTACGAGTTTCCGGTGATTTTTTTCGTTCCGTTGATATTGTTTAATCGAGCGCAGCGGTAGCCGTGATTTATCCCATACGAATATCGAACGATCGAATAATCGAGAGGCGGTCGTGGGCATTTAATATCCAGCTGTGTAGAGTTGACAGCCATGCACAAGGGACGTTCAAATAGCGGCGCAGTTTATTTTTGAACAGGGGGTTGCGTTGGATTTGTTGACGATTCGCATTCGAGGATGAAGAAGGGTGTCGGATTCGAACCTTTGAGGAAACGCACCGAGAACTCGATACTATCACGAGCAAAGGAAGGATCTCGCACAGTAAATTATTTTTCTCGCTTATAAGTTCGCGGAGTTGGTTTTTTTCCATTTGACTCCGTCAATCGTCGGATAATCGGTGAATCGCGTAACGCGCTCCAAAGCTGATGGTGTCGTGACGATGGAGAATATATTGTCGAATGTGTGTACGTAATCGAAGATATGTGGTCTAAATTGCGTGGCATTTGATCCGTGTATCGGACGTGTTTCGCTGGCACGTTTACGATTTCGATGTTATTCGGTGAGATGTTATTTACTGCGACGAACGAAAGACGTCGAGCAATTGTTCGGGAAAGAGGGTCAGCTTTTTTCCGAGGTCCACGATTATCCGAAATAAAATATCGTTGACCCAGTTAGCCGCGTAAAAGTAATTAGACATTCGCGGCTGTGTAGACTGGCAGGGACCGTAGGTGAGAGCAGAGTGTTGATCGATCCTTCGTCGTTGCCGAGCGCATGTACGCGATCCATCGTAAATTCACGTTTCCACTTGTGTATCGGTGCGTGCGGTGACATCGGCTTGAAATACGACACGCGGGACAACCATCGGCAAGTTACGATGCCTAGAAGAGGAGCAAATTTAGTCTCATACGGGTAATTCAAATCCCCAGCCAGGTACGAGACGCGGACAAATAGCCGGACTCTCTCGCTAACGACATTCGTATTCCTTACTCTCTTCTGTATCCTCGTTTGCCGCTGTTTTATCACGCTGCCCAAGGAACTCGGGATACTGTTCCTATACGCTTTAGATTTTAATTACGGTGTCGCGCACTCTGCTCGGACTTTCTTTAACGGGTTGTTCTACTCTAGAGCGTCAATTTTTAATTCCTTTTTTTTACAATTTATAAGGAATTTTTATGAAAGGTCTTGAACGCATATTTATTCACATTTTAACGACATAATTTCTTACACAATTTCGAGTTATTGTTCCTATACGCTTTAAATTTTAATTACGGTGTCGCGCACTCTGCTCGAACTCTCTTTAAGGGGTTGTTCTACTCTAGAGCGTCAATTTTTAATTCCTTTTTTTACAATCTATAAGGAATTTTTATGAAGGGTCTTGAACGCATATTTATTCACATTTTAACAACATAATTTCTTACACAATTTCTTGCAAGTAAAATAAACAAAATTAAACATAGTACATGTGATCTTGTATCTTCGTTTGCCGTTATTTTATCACGCTGGTCAAGGAACTCGGGATACTGTTCCTATACGCTTTAGATTTTAATTACAGTGTCGCGCACTCTGCTCGGACTCTCTTCAAAGGGTTGTTCTACTCTAGAGCGTCAATTTTTAATTCCTTTTTTTACAATTTATAAGGAATTTTTATGAAGGGTCTTAAACACATATTTATTTACATTTTAACTCTTTACGGTACAGGAATTCAGGTCATAAAATAGACCCATGTTGCACAGGAATTTTATTGCGTTTTAAATCAAACAAAATTGTTATGGATTTGTTTTTTGTATTTTGAAGCTGAAGGGTCAAAAATTACCTACACTATATTCAAATCACATTTATAGTTTTAAGAATATTAAAACATAAACAATAAATAAAAATATGTTTTTTTTTATTACTCCCCAAGTTCCAAATCCCACCATACTTTCATCATTTGCAAACAAATTTAATCTTTAGTTTTTATTATAAAACACTTCACTTGTTTATATAGAACTAATTTTTATATAAATTAACTTACCTCTACGATTTTTCACATAAAACCAGGAAAGAAATATTATCGCAATAAACCTTCCGTTTACAACAATTGTTGAACCGGTATTAACATGTTGAAAGTTGCCAACATAAGTGCATACATTTGTAACATTGGATGGATATATTACCAACTGCTTTACGTAAATAAGACGAAACATAAACCTATACACGTGCAGCTATTGCAAAATTTCGAGGTGGGATTAAAAATGTCCCACCATGCATTACGGTCCATCAAAAAGATGGGATACTTTTAATCCCAAGAGTTAAAAACATATACAATTTCTTGCAAGTAAAATAAACAAAATCTTGTACAGTCTCTATTGAAAAAAGTATGTTCGTGGTTGCCTCGATTCCGGTCGTTCTGTTTATCCGAAATGAAAAAATCAAGAAACATTTTTGTTAATTTTAGCCAGCATTATTATGAAATATTAAAGATTCAAAAAATGGTAGCACTTTAAAGTTTGAATATTTATTGTTTGTATTTTGTTTTGGTCAGATTCTGAAAACCATGGTTCAGGCGATAAAGGCACACGTGCCGAAGATTCACTCCAAATTTGAAGTCATTCAACTAGAACTCGAGATATGAACCATTTTCTCTGTTTTGGTAATAAACTTTTTTTGGCAATAAAAAAGTACTTTAAACCATGATATTACTTCAAATTTAGGCTCATATAGAGTGTAATTACATGTAAAGCATAATCTAGCAATTTTTAAAATGGTTGGTTAAAAACTTTTCGAGCTAGAGTGTACAAAAATTCAAAGAAATTCGAGGAAAAAGCGTTTGAAAAAGAGAATACCGAAAAGAAAAGTTGAAGGAAGTAACGAATTTATTTAATCTATTTACTGGTTAGTCAAAGATTCCAAGACCATGTAGCAGTTCTTCTTCTCCTTCATATCCTTCGTTTTGAGCCTACAACTCTTCTTTTCGTGCTCTTCGAGTCTAAACCTATTTCGCCCCTTAATCGCAGAGGTATTGCTCCGCTGTTCCGCTTCAGGGAAGGACCGCTGTTGACTTTTTCTCGAATAAATACGAACGTTATAACGTGTACATTACAGGATCAGGATCGATACAAACTTTGTTGTAATGTTTACTTGAAATATTGGAATTTTAGCTGTAGCTTCCATCGATAGATACGTATGTACATATTTTTATTATTTTACTTGGAAATAACTTGGATTAGCTGCTTGAAAACGTTTTGTTACCCTTTAGTATCGTGTGTTGAATTCATCATTGCTTGTTGCGAGATTGAGGGGGAAATTATCAGACCAAATATAATTACGTGGGTTTTGGAATATTTTTTTCTATAGAGAAGAATTTATGTAAAGTATTGTTTTAACTTTGAGAATATTTTAGGTATATTTTAAAGTAGATTTTGTAATTTTTTCATTTCATTTCGCATAGATAGAAATCTTTGAGAAATCTCTACAATGAAAGAGAATATGAAAAGAAGAATTCGTGGGTTGTATTTCATCATTTTGCTTTCATCTTAAATATTAATAACAAAACCTTTTATTAACCTTCCTATATTCTACGTGTTAGTCTCTCAGAGAGGTCGAGACGTAATACATTTTTCGTACTCTTTTACGAAATCCCGTGCAGTATTTGTTCTTGACTTTATTTCAATATTGCACAAACGTTTGTATTTTTCGAAAGTAGTCTTATTAGTTCCGTATTAGGTTCAAGTTATAGTAAATATTGTAATTTCATGTTATTTAATCCTATTTCTTTTCGAGCTCGAGCACTACTTTTTTTAATTGAAATGCATATTTTTGTTTGCTTACATTGGATCCTTTTGTCATTCTACGAAAAAAAATGATTAGTTTATGAGACATTTTAAACGATTATCTGTAACGAAAACGATGGAAACGTATGGTCTGAATTATGATATTTTATAAATGACTATTTTTTCCGGGCCAGTAAAAGTATAAGTTTTGTGTGTCAAGTTAAAATTATAAGTGACAAATATTTTACTTTTATTTCTTTCAAATAACTTTGTTTGTACCTTACTAATGTCTAACCTACGTTATTATGGGGATAATCATATAATTTGAAGTCCTCAAAAATCAAAGGGGGCAAATTAAGAAACAAATTTGAAGGAGGTTGAGAAACACTGAACTGTAATCTATCGAATTCTCTGTTTACGATATTTTCAATCGATACAAATTTTCTGTGATTCATATATAGCAGATAGTAAAGCAGTATAAAGCTTTTTTTTTCAATTTTGTTGAAGTTTCAGGGCATGCGAAGTTAGCACCTCATATTTTCAAAATGCTGTTTCTTGCGTATTTCGGCGGAACTATTTCTAAAAACTATCAGGAACTATAGAACTATCGTGTATGCAAATAGAACTGGTGCTGAAAATTTGATTTTTTGAAAGTGAGGTGCTAATTTCACAGTGGCATCGACGATACGAAAGACGAACATCATTTCATGTCGAAAGATTTCTATGTATATCTCTTTACTGTGTAACAAATTATTTTGTTATAAACACAATTCCTTTTCACAATGTTCTTTGCTTATATCTAGCTCCTTACTCTATTTACTTATATTCTTCGCTACACTGGTTATGTCGAAAGACTTATCGTAAGCTCGATGTGATTTTTCTATTAACCGAACCTATTTACAAACAACTACCGTTCCGGTCGTGAATGTTTACGCTTATAAAGAGTCTTCTAATTACGTGGATGCAGTTACCCAATGCAATTTGAGTCGAAAACGTACGACTCACGTACGTTGCCGGCTTAATACCGAAGTGGGGAAATCCATTGGGGTAATCCTAATCCCAACAACGATGAGTGGTTCACCTGGACTGATCAGACAACCTGCATAACGATCGTTGAAAATCGGATTAAATCCTGTCAGATATAGGCTTCAATTTACATCCAGCGGTTATCTCGTTGAGTTGCAGCGTACTTTCCTCTAATGGGCTTCCACGAAATACGCGAATCAATCAGTCGTTCGCCGATTCGCAATGCAGCCCTCGGAAATGATGGATAAAGACTTCGTTGTCCTTTAATAGCGACGTTTACACTCACATTTGCTTCAATCCCGATAAACCGAGCGCGTACGTTTCGTTTCTCACCTCGGTCTCACGTCACCTGAGCTATGTCAACCCGGTACCCGACTTTTCAAAAATTAATTCTTTTTGTAGAAAATCATAGCATTTCGTTTGTACTTGATTGTACCACCAATAGTTTCGTTTGTACCGTCATCAATTAATAATTAAAAAAAATTCAAAAAATGGTCAGCACCCGACATTGAGATTTTTGAAATCTGGTTTTTCTCTATTCATTAGAATCGTTTGTACCCGTTTCTACCACATTTCGTTTCGTTTGTACCTTAATAGTTTAAATTTTACAAGCAATTGTTGATACGGTTGAATTATAAAATTTAAACTATTAAGGTAAAAACGAAACGAAAAGCGGTACAAACGGGTACAAACGATTCTAAACAACAGCGAAAAAACAGATTTCAAAAATTTTAATGTCGGGTACTGACCATTTTTTAAATATCTTTTTAATTATTAATTAATGAAGGTCCACACGAAACTGTCGATGGTATAATCAAGTACAAACGAAATGCTATCATTTTCTTTAAAAAAAATTAATTTTTGAAAAGTCGGCTGCCAGATTCACATAGTTGTGTAACGGTGCGTGCACAATCGACAGTTGCACTACTTTTTTTAATCGAAATGCATACTTTTGTTTGCATACATTGAATCCTTTTGTCATTCTACGTAAAAAGATGATTAGTTTATGAGACATTTTAAACGTTTATCTGTAACGAAAACGATGCAACCGTATGGTCTGAATTATGACATTTTAAAAATTACTATTTTTTCCGGGAAAGTAAAAGTATCAATTTTGTGAATATACTTCTCTATGGTTATTTAAGTATAATT